TATTATACTACTATTGTTACACAATTTATTAACATACTCTTTTTTAGGTTCATTTAGGTTCTTTTGATAACGATAGCAGAAAATAGCTATCGAAACGTCAAGGTAATTTGTCAAATTAAGTTCTCTACTAATTGGAATTTTCTCTTACAGCTTGAGCCTAAGTGTGTCGCAGGATACCCTCTAGGTGATAGTTCTTGATTACTTTTTGATAAATATTTCTTTCTTATTGAGAAATAGGAGCACTATTTATCAATCTGTAATAAAAGACGTGAGGAAATTCTGTCTTTTTTGAAGACAAACATTTTTGAGGCGAAATACCCAAAAGGAAGTTTGTAAAAAAGTTATCTATAATTGGTACTTGATTTACATTGGCCATTATAACGAACAGTTTGAAGGGTCAGAAGAACACAAGTTCTCCCCTGTTCTTGCGCACAAGAAACCCTTTTAAAAAGTGAATTGTTTAGTGTGCAGCATACTCATTTTTTCCCATAAAAACTGGGGCTTTTGTTGATGATTGATGCACACTTTTTTGAAATTTTCCAACAAACCACATGTTTACCATCCAGTTCTTTGAAACATAAACCAAAAAAGCTGTTGTTCCAGATGCCAAACCGAATGCGAACATCGGCGCCCAAAATTCGGGCAGCAAAAATAGTCTCACGTCCAGATTCCCCTTCTACCATCCTCACTCCCATGGCAGTCCGGATGATGAAGACGCCAAATTGTTGAAAACGAAACAGTCGAGCGGCGGCAAACTTCCGAACAGTAGTGGTACCATGGCGGAACAGTCGCACGGTACCAACGCGATCAGTGTTGATGCGGGACCAAAACAACGGAAAAGCAAGTCGGGTTTGGGTGGTTTTCTGCAGCGATTGGCCAGCTTTCGATTGGGAGCCAAAAAAGGACAAGAGCAAAAGGATAAGCTCAAGAGGAATGGTGCTGCTGCAACAGGTCAGTACCGGGTGGTTCTGGAGTTGAAAATTATCAAACCAACACTAGAAAGTGTTTTGTTAACGGATTATTTTTGCTTAACTCAACTAAACAGGCGCGACTTGAATTCTCATTCTTTCCAAGATGTGGCCACTGCGGAAAATCTAAGCGGCGATTTTCGCCCAAGTTTGCCTCTACTACTACACCTTTTCGCGACAATTAACATACATTTTATTCAACTCCTACGCAAATTGCATTGTAAACTTCTTTCTGATTTGCCAAGAAATTGTTGGGTACAGTCACTTAATGACCCACATTGCCTTATAAATTATAAACAGCGTTATGAAAACCGTTTCTTGCATCTGATAAACCCTCTACTATTCGTCGAAAAGCCAGGTGTTCGAATTCCAACCCTGGAGGGTGCTTTACCTGTATGTTGGGGTCACTTTGCAGTTTCAACTTTCACAACTCATTGTTTTGATAAAACGTCCTTCTGTATGTTCCCAGTTCGGCGTGAAGATATTAGTTTATGAAAGAATTTCCGAAAATACACTTTTGCGTGTTTGATTTAACGCGGCAAAGTTTGTTGGGGTGTTGCAAGCGAGGAAGTGTGTTCAACGTTGAAACTATGAGAAGTATTTATGGTATTTGCAAGCCGTTTTAGTGGAAAAGTTGTTCTAATTTTGGCCATTACGCATTGAGTGGGACTTTTGGCAGCTTAGGACATAACAAAGTGGTTGATATTTACGCATCGAGCGCAGTCAGAGGCCTTGATCGACTCACTCAAATATCATCAATGCTACACGCTTCCACTAACTAATCTTCGCAAAAGTTTCTGTAAATAATTACAGAAAATAAAAAAAAATCACATTTTTCTCCGAGTGTGTTCGATCTTATTTCCTCTCCTGCCTTAATTTCATTTTCGCCCTACAGCAATCTCTTCATTCATGTTTCTTTTTTTTGAAACATTCAATATTTTTGTTTCTAGACACTTTGTTAAACGCCTTGTGTAGGTCTACGCGTAAATCTTTTTTGTTTCCTTTAATGCCTTTTCTCTTGTTTGTTTCATGGAAATTATGTGGTCTTGAATCCTATTTGTGCGCCTAAATTCGCTTTGCGGTTGTTCAAATGACATGTTCGAATTCTTTCATATCAGTTGAAACTTTTTCATTTCCATACTTATCAGTGATAACAATTTTTCGGTCTCATTTTTTTTTGTAAAAAATTAGCGGTAACGGTTTTCTTCCTGTTAACCAAATGTTAATGTACAAATCTACTACTACCGTTACTTCTTGTTCACCTTTATTTATCATTTTTGTTCCATTTTTTATTTCTTCATGTCACTTTGTATTGGTTTGAGCTTTTTTTGTTCTTTCTTGTTTTGCTTCATGTGCCCTCTTTACCCCTTCTTCTTCTAGTCGTTCCTGACAATGTTTTTACCAACGTTTTGTTATTTATTTTGTCATTAAATTTGCACTTAATGCATATTGTTTCTTCCGATTTTCTTTTGCTACATGCTTTAGATATGTATGCTATGGGACAGCTTCCACTTGTCTTTGCTGCTGATCGTGTTTCTTTATTTTTTCATCAAACTATTGAAATTTTTTCCTCGGTTGCCAGTGTTTTTATTTTTTCTTTTGTTTTGATTTGCTTTATAATCTGGTGCTTTTTTGTCTCCTTGTTTCAAAACTTATTCTTCATTTCTATTTCAGCTGTCATTTCCTGCGAACATCATGTTTACGGTTATCTCATTTCTTGCTTATTTTACGCATTTCTTTGTGGTTTTCTATAACGAGTTTTTTTCAATATTCTCATATTTGGATAGCATTTTTATCTATGTAACTTTGATCATTATTTTTAATTTTTATGTTGTGATTTCTCCATAGTTTCTTGCAGAAGGGGTTTATATCTTATTTATAAATTACATTATTATTATTGTTTTTTTAGCAATATTATTAGCAATTAATGTATTTTCTTTGTTCCTTAGTTTGTTAATATATTTAATTAGATAAATGGCAAACTTAAGACTGCAAAACCAGCTGAAAAACTCCAAAAAACATTAAAAAACTCCTCCACACAAAACCACCACATAAATCTTGAAAATTGATCGAAAATCGAAACTTTTTCACTTGCAAAAACAACTCTCTACTTTTAAAGATTCCTCAGGAAAAACCCGTCAAACCCTGGGCCCTCATAATAACATGAAATATAGAACTGTAGATATAAAAATATAACTGTCTTAGTACTCAAGCACCTCATTGGACGATAACAAAACGATCAGTTAATTCACACTTTCCCTTAAATAATAAATAATTATAATAAAGTTCGCAATTGAAATAAACTCAGCCAAATAAAACTTCTGGAGAAAAAGATCAAAACAACAATAACAAAACAGTAACTGATAGCGATAAGAGCCAGATGAAAGAACCAAAGAAGTCAAGAAGACTATTAAAAACAGTCAGGTCATACGCATCGTGACATATTGAATGGTATCGCATTCGATGGCCAATCACACGTTTACTTAAGCCATTAATATTATATGGTAGGCATGAAAACAAATAGCTGTTTGTTCAAAACCAGGACGTTTCATACGAGGATTGGTGTATAAATAAATGAGTTGTGCTGTTAAGTGGAACCAACAAGAGCGCTTATCTAAGTGGCTCTTGCAGCTGAAAAAATGCGTGAAACGTTTGCACTTAATGCATCAGCGAGTAAAAATCATCGTTTAATTATCAACACTTGCGAGGAATTTACGAGGAATGTCTGGAAACAGTGGCAGTGGAAAATAAACTGCCTGAAATTGCATGTAAAAGCGCCACTTCCTTAATAAAGTCTATTTCTATTTACGTCATTATTATTGTTATTGCTTCTTTGATGGCTTCCTTCCTACTTGCTGATGTTAGACAGTTAGGGTTCGAGGAAATAATGCCAGGAGATTATGTTTAAACAGGACTGGAAAGTGGGCTGCGATCATTCCCATTCATGTTTACCCAAACTGCGTCTAATGCTTGAGTAAATTAGTTCATTAAAAATCAGTGAAAACTATTGAATAAATGCATTGTGTGCCCAATTAATTGATGATCTTAATAAATACATATTCAACAATTTAATGTTACTTTTATATTAGAAAGTGAAGTGATAGATGGATCTGTAAAGCAGGGTTGGCTTGATTTTCATCAAGTGATTTAAATCACCTGACTTTTTTGGAAAAAAATCACGATTTAAATCAAAGTTCATTTTTTCAAGAAACTTTATATTTCCACACAAAAAATATAAAACAAAACATAAATAATTCTAAGAAATGAAAATAAAAATTAAACGGTATTAATGGTAAACTCAGTAATACTAAAACGGAAATCACTTCTCTTTCTCTTCATTTTCGTTATAAAGTCTGAAGAGGAAC